ATTGGAAGCTCCACTGAAAGACAGAATTTCAAGTCCCTATACTGCGATCTCTCGGTTCTGAAGGATGAAGAACACACTGTCATCCCATAAAATAACTTGAATCGGGGGACTGGAACATGTTTTGCCATGTTTTCCAATCTTCCAACAATTTTAGAAAAGAGGTCCAGGTCTTCATTTGGCAAGGGGCTATGTTCTGAGACATCCCATGGAATACATTAAGAATTTTGCTGCCAAATAAAAAAGAGGCTGATTGTTCTCAGTATCAAGGGAATGCTTGGCAGCTTAGCATTTACAAAACATCTCTTTCATCTGTCCTGTGATAGAGATGACATGTCTTCCAAGCTGGGAATCCTCCAAGGAAAGGGTTTGAGCAGATATGAAGATGCAGGCTGAGGATTGTCCCTCCATTGTGAGTTGAATCCAAGGCCCAGAGCCTTGTCACCTGGTCCCTCAAAAATGGTTTCTCTTCCAAGTCTTGTCAGTTTGTTTCAAACATTCTGCCTGCTGTTCTTTGTGGGGCTTGTTTGTTATTACAGTTTGTTATTACAGCCATTATCACTCAACTATCTGCCTGGGCAACTGACTTAGGAACTCTCTTTTTCCAGATGGGATTCATTTCCAGGTCAGGAACCCCTGACTTCTGAACTGACTGCCTGTCACTCCATTGCTTCCTGCCCCTTCTGCCACCGTCCCTGGTTTATCCTAATGGCTGCACCAGCCTCCTCTCTTCCCTTCCTCACTGTTGACAGGATGGATGTCCATTCAAAAACACATCTCCCATTCAATCAATTCTCTGCCCTCGAGACATTTATGGACTTTCTACCCTTGTTTACTTGGTAGCTTTCAATCCCTCCCTGCCTTCTTTTGTGCCAGTCTTGGGTCTTAAATTCAGGGCTTGGGCACTGTTCCTGAGCCACAGCTCCACTACCAGCATTTTGGTTGTTAATTGTAGCTAAGAAGCTCACAGACTTTCTTGCCCCAGCTGGCTTCAAACCACCATCCTCAGATCTCAGACTCTGGAATCGCTAGAATTACAGGTGTGAGCTACCAGTGCCTGAGTATCAACCTCTACCTTATTTTTTTTTCTTTTTCTTTTTTTTGTCAGTTGTGGGGCCTGAACTCTGGGCCTGGGTGCTGTCCCTCAGCTCTTCAGCTCAAGGCTAGTGCTCTACCACTTGAGCCACAGAGCTACTTCCAGCTTTTTCTGCTTATGTGGTTCTGAGGAATCAAACCCAGGGCCTCATGCATGCAAGGCAAGCGCTCTACCACTGAGCTACCTTCCCAGCCCCTTCTTCTTCTTCTTTTTTTAATAAGCAGAAGAACCCAGATTTTTCAACCTAAGTGTATAAAACAGATAAGATCTAAAGCTCCTCTCTGTAAGACAAGGAGGTAGATCTTAGGACCTGCCCTAAAGACTCCTATACCTACCCACTTCAGCAACTCCAGGGAATCTTGGAACTCTTCGCTGAAACTCTTCTACCTAGGGGGTAAAGCCCATGATCTTCAAGACCCTCCAGGCTGTAGGCTCAGCCCACCTTTCTGGCTTTATCACCCAGCACTCCTCTGTATACTTTCTATATTTTTGCTAGACAGACCACTCATGACCTGAATGGACTAGGCACTGGAGGCTCCACACTGTGGTCTATCCAGCTTCCTTAGCCAGACGTGTCTTCCTACCCAACCCTAACTCCTGAACTCCTAATCATCCTCCCAGGTTTAGATGCAATATCATCCCTTATGAAACCTCTGTGAATGACCCAGATAGAACCAAACTCTCCCTTCCTTGGGAACTTTGTTAAACAGACTAACTACTTGATATATCTGTGACCTTCATGTGTTTCTCCAAGTAATGGTATCTTTCTAATCCTGGCCCACAGTTCCAATAAACATTTGTAGCTTTATGAAGGTAAAACCATGACCTTTCCAGCATTACCAATAGTCCTATATAAGTTCGTCATGAATTCTGAAACCCTTCACAGCAAACAAGTGCCCAAAGGATGCAAGAGCTATAAATGAGTGCTTAGATTTTACTTCTGGCCCTGTCCCAAACTAAAAGATAGCTATCATTTTCATATTGTTGGCATAAGAATAATGATCATTCCAATGGCTAACAGTATGAGGCAATTACAACATGCCAGGAACTGCTGCAAGTGATTTTTCATGGATTAACTCAGTTTTACTTTACTGAACAAAGGCTGAAGCGTTTGCTTGCTCAAACTCTTCTTATAGTTCCATTTGAGTCTAAAAGAAACTTTATAGGCCAGAGACTAGAAGAATGAGGAGACAGACTCATAGGTAAAATCATTTGGCTTGTGGTTAAGCTTGTGGCTCTTAGGAGACTATGTTTCACACTGCTTCTCCATGACCCAGGAACTACCCAGAGCCACAATTGTTGATGCAAAAATTCTTACAAAGCTATACCAGGGAGATATGGTACTCAGCTAAGTAGCTGGCATGTCTAAGTATTTCCTAACTTGAAGAGTTAAAGGAGCCACCAAGCACTGATGACTTATAGCAGTAATCTTAGCTTTTCATGAGGCTGCAATCTGGAGAATAGTGGTTCAAAGTCAGCCTGGGAAGAAAAGTCTGTAAGTTTCCATTTCCAAAGTAACCAGCAAGAGGCTAGGCTAGAGGCATGGTTCAAGTTGGTAGAGAACCAGCCAAACAAGCTCAAGGACCTAAATGAAAGCTCTGTATTGGCAAAGAGTTAAATGATTCTGCTTGGATTTAGTTTAGTTTTTTAATACTGTTTAGTAAGGATTATAATCACATAAACTAATTTCGCTAATGAGATATAAATGGTATCTGCAGAAATTTAGAAACAACACAAGTCCTTAACAAGAAAAGTGCTGGGCACCATCTTCTAGACAGAGCAGCCTCTCGGGATTATCATACGAGCACATTTCACTTCAAAGCACATTGCCTAAGAGGCAGTATGATATCATAAAAAAAAGAGACGCCAAATCTGAAGACTAACTCCTGTTATTGGCAAGTGACCTTTGGAAAACTCAGTTGATATGGCAGATTCTCTGAGGGAGATAATTAATTCTGCCAGCCCTGCCTAACTGGGTTTTTCTGAGGCTCCACGGAAATGTGGGTGAAGACTAAGGTAGGAAAGCACTCATCTTCTCCTGTAATGAGTGAATGTAATTGGAGAAGGCTATCTGGCAGTCTGTCCTCATTGTATGGGTCTCAGTCCATTTGGCTGTCATAACAAAACACTGGGTAGCTTGTAAGCAACTGACATGAGGGCCTCACAACCCAAAAGCTGGGAAGTCCAAGATCAATGGTAGATGTGGAGTCTGTGGAGATCCCCCTCCTGCTTCATAGACAGCCTTCTCTTTACTTTGTCTTCACATGGCAGAAGGTATGGATTCAGCTTGGTCCCACTGAAGCCACCATGAGCTATAACTGCTATGATTGTTCCCTGAGTCACCCTGACTGGTTACCCTGCATAGATCCACAACATACTATTAATAAAATCATCAGAGCAGGAATGGGAGGATTAATAATCTGGACTCATAGTGCCCCTGATGATGGTCTTGATATTGATAAACCAGGTACATTATGATTAGATGAAGTCACTCTTTCTTTATCACTCTATAAGACCCCTACTTCTGATCCCATTTCTATCACTGCATTTTGCAATCTTGGATGTGCCTGCCTCTTTCTTTACTGCATCATAGGGCAAGTTGTTTCCATCTATTAGATCACGAGAGGTCCACCCTCGTAACCTCCAGCATCATTCCCAGAGGACCCTGCCTCTGTATATACCACCATCATCGTGATTACACTTCAATGCATGAATTTTGGAGGGGCACAAACCTTCAAACCATAGCAACCTTAGAGAAGGAGAGTGACTTAACCAGAACCCAGAGAACAGTGCAGACCCATGAAAGGGTCCCCACTTTTACCCATACTTCTTTAAGATTATATTTATTCCTTCCAATCTTTTCTTAAGCTAGGAATCTGTAGATAGTTTTGTAAACAGATCCATTAAGTCTTCAAACTTTTCTTGGAAGGATATCAAAATTCCCTTCACAACATGCACTCTGGTGCCAGGCTGTCCATCTGACCCCCACCCCCACCCCCCCAACCCCTTTGCTGATATCAGACCTGCCTACCCTTCCACTTTTCCAGAACCTGAGGGTCAGCAAAGTGACTTGCCCAGGATCACAATGCAAGAGGAAGATTCAAAATGCTCTTCAAGCCTTGCTGCATGCTAAGGACAAAGCACGTCTCAAAAACGGAGAAAAGGACCAAACCAGCAATAACAACATACAAAAAAACAAAACAAGATTTTTAAAAGTGATTTTTTTTGTAGTATCACCGATACTACTTCAGGCAAGTTTACAACATTTACACGTGCACAGAAGCACTGATTACTCCATTAGGGGAGAAGCAAAGCTAATCCCCACTCCCCACCCCCACCCCCACTGAAGCAGGAAACTTGGTTAACACAACAAAAGAGTGATGGCCGCAAATGTACAAGCTTCCACGGCTGATTAATTGGCTCGTCTTGAGATGCGAATGTAGGGGTGATGACTCCCAGCGCCCACGTCTCACTGACCCTTGACCTCCCATCCACCACATTCCGTTCTGAAGGTGACGCCATCATCAGGGTGCTTTGAAAACTCGTGGTTTCCACCAGGGTGGATGCAAGTTCGGATTCCTGCCTGGAACCCTGGCAGGGTGTCCCAACTCTGCACTTTAAATGTCCGCCCTGGCTTCCCACCGACCTGCAGCCAGCGCCTCCCAGCCCCCAGCCACCTGGCCTGCACCGGGTCCCTGTGGCCCTGGGGCGAGGTGGGGGGGGGACTGGGGGTGGCACCCAGCTAGGCTGAAAGCTGCAAGGACCCCAGGCGCATTGTGAAGTGGCCTGAGCGTCACAGGCGCGGCGGACCCCGGGGATCCGAGGGCCTGGTGGGTTATCTGCAGTGCCCCCTGGGCCCCTCCCCCGGGACCCTCGCACTGAACCCGGGCACCTTCCCCAAGGGAGCATGGCGGACTTCCGCTACTTCTCTCCTCGACCCTACCCGGACCTCTGGGAATCTCCGCCGCCTGGTGGAGAGCTGGGGTCCCCGGGGCCGCTGGACGGGTCGGCCAAGGACACCCTGGCGGGATCTCTGTGCGCCGGGTGCGAAGCTGGAGCGACCTGGTATCGCCCGCGCTGTTCGCCCACCCTGAGGTGCGGTCGGCCTGGGTACTTCAGCTCCGCGAAAGAAAGCCACAGCCTGACCCACGTGGCCCGGAGGCCCCTGGACCGTGCCAGGAAGCTCCGTTCCGGCGCCCGGCGCCTAGGAGATGCCTGGGAGGAGTCAGGAGCCCAGTGGAGTCCAGCATGGAGGCAGCGGCGACCTCCACAGCCCCATCCCTGTTCGTGCTACCCCTCGGCCCAGGGAGATTCGCCCCCGCCGTACCCCGGGGGAGCGTACACCCCTCCAGGTATTCGAACTTTTGGGAAAGAGAAGGAGCAGGCCTGGGAAGATCGGTGGGCCATGCCCGTATGCACCCACGTGGGTTGCTGGTCCCCTTCCTCGGTCCTCACGGATAAGTCCTCTGGGTCATCCCAAGAGTGTAGGACCAAGTCAGTCTGCATATGCGCCCAGAAGCGAGACGGTGGCGGTCGGATGGAGTCCGTGGACAGTCAGTGCTCGCAGGCCTCGGCCTCCAGCGGGCACCATCCCCATTCCAAGGGCAAGCTGGAAGACGCGGTGATGTCCTCCCGAGATCAGAAGATCGTGGCCCTGGTGCTGAGTCGGCTCAAGAAGGCGCAGAGGATGCGGGAGCTGCAGCAGCAGGCGGCGGTAGCCTGGGAGGAGCTGAAGCGCTCGGACCAGAAGGTCCAGCTGACCCTGGAAAAGGAACGGCGCCAGCTTCTGCAGCAGAGCCAAGAGCAGTGGCAGCAACAGAAAGAGCAGCGCAAGACTCGCCTGCCGCCGGGCCGGCGGCGGGACCGCCTGGGGAAGCACTCTGCCGCGAGCCAGGGGAACAAACACGCTGGAGGCCCCGGTGACAGCGCGTGGAAGGCGCTGACTCCGCCACCGGAGGACCAGGAGAACCAGCAGCAGGAGAAGCGGGAGAGAACGCCTGCGCAGGCCGAGCCTCGCCAGCACTGCCAGGTGCACAGCTTCTGGGAGCAGGAAAGGATGCTCCAGAGGCTGCGGGAGCTCCACAGCCTGCGCCAGAACAAGAAGCTGGAGGAGGCTCGGTACAAGAGGCAGATGATGCACACCACGGAGACGCAGAACAACGTCCAGGAGAGCAACCTGAGTTCCCTGGTCAATTATCAAGCCCGCAAGGTCCTCATGGACTGTCAGCTCAAGGCAGAGGAGCTCCTCAGGAGGCTGTCATTAGAGCAAAGTGGCCAACGGTCCCAAGAGACGCACCAGGGCCTGGTGAAGAAACAGCACCAGGAGCAGCAAGAGAAGGCCCAGAAGATGGGAGAGCAGCTAACGCAGACCAAGGGGCACGCGCAGGAGTCGGAGGAGCAGAGGCAGGTGCTCAAGAGGATGTTGCTCGAGCTGGCGGAACAGAAGATCCGCCATGCCAGGTGTCACTCCCAGAAGACCACCAGAGACAGGGTGCACCACCTGAGGGAGCTCAACACCCTGCGAGAGAAGAACCACCACATCCTGAAGCTGAAGGCCGAGAAAGAGCAAAAATATCCTATGGAGGGCATCAAGGAAGCCGTGAAGAAAAGGGAGCAGAGGATGGAGCAGACATCCCACAGGCAAGATCCTATCTTCCAGGACTTCCACAAATTCTCCTCGGCTTCTAGGAGAGACAATGGTGGCGGGCCTTCCAACAGCTGCTTTGATCCGATGGCCACAGAGCCCCAGGTGCACACACATAAGCATAGAGGAGACTACTGAGGAGCGAGAGCGATGCGGCCATGCCATTCCAATTTATAATCTGATTAAAATTGAGCATTGATTTTTTTTTAAAAAAAAGTATATAAAGTAGCTGCAATTTCTTCTCATGAACTAGTTTATTGATTCGTTTTAGATAGTTTAGCAGGTTGGAGGGATTTGAAGGTTTTAAGAAAGTTGTTGGGCTTTGTCCATTTTGATCTGAACAGAAAAATATTCATTTAGAAGCACACATCAAGCAGATCTTGGAAGAGAGAGAGAAAGAGAATGTACTTGGGGATGCAGTTGTGCGTTATGTCTAAGTTTTCCTATCCTAGAAATTATGAAAGGTAAAGTGTGAAAAATCAGTCATAAAACATCTCCACGAGTAAAATAAAAAAGATATAGCAGGAGAATTTATGTCAATAAATAGATTTGAGAAATATGTATACTATATCCCCCCTTCAGAGTTCATAATGCACTTAAAAATTTAAAGACTCTGGAAAGAACTGCAGTAAAGGAATTTTTACTTGTTTATCACACAACACAGTCTGTCTCTCTCTTTCTCTCAATCTTTTTTTTTCTTGTAAATGATAGTCTAGTTCTTTCCAGATTGAGGATTTCTTTGGACATTCCTTCTTGTGTAGGTAAGAAGCGTTTATGATTCCACCAGCACTATGTCTTTTTCTTTTACCTCTGGTTCTGATTTGTACTTTTCACATAAGGCTGGTGCTCTAGATAGAGCACCACTTGAGCTATCGATCCACTTTGGCTTTTTTTCCCCTAGTTAATTGCAAATAAGAGTCTCTCCAACTTTGCTGCCTTGGTATGGTTTCCAACTGCCATCTTCAGATCTTAGCCTCCAGAGTGGCTAGGATTACAGATGTGAACCACCAGTGCTCAGCAGCACGAGGTCTTGACTGAAAACACCATGCTAGCATTATCTAAGAGCTATTATTTAGTCTGATTGTTTTGGTTGCTCCTATCCAATTCTATTCAATAAAACTTTAATAGTATTCTTTTCTTCCTCTATTTCTCCTCTGTCTCTTTTGAGGGAGGTGTGTGATGTCATTCTGTCTACCCACATTGTGTCTAATTAACTCAACCAGGCTCTGAATGAATAAGCATGACTCAGTAATGTGACATTTTTTAAATAAAGAGCAAGCAGCTAAATCGAAATGAGACCATTACATCTCACCATTTTTATTGAAAAATTTGAAGTGTTTTCTTTATAAGGCCCTTAATATAACATTTGTATTGATGAAGGGAAGGCAGGAGAAGAGAGATGAAGAATAAATGCCACTGGAAATTTTTCTTTAATTAGTTATTTTGAAGCAACGTTGAAAATAACCTGATAAGGGAATTGGTATAGAGATCACAGCTTGTATATGGAAACCAAGCCCTTTCCTTAGCTAGTTTTCTTCCTCTGCCATAAGTCCTCCTCTACTTGCTGTCGCCCCAGAGAGGCCTACTGTAGGGCCTTTACTCCTTTGCTTGAAAATGAGAGTCTTTACTCCTTTGCTTGAAAATGAGGGTCTTTACTCCTTTGCTTGAAAATGTTTAGGAAGCTCCCTGTTCAATCATGCAAAGGCTTAGCTGGGATATAGCTCAGTCGCAAAGCACTTGCCTAGCAAGAGTAATGTCCTGGGTTCAATCCCCAGTACAAAAGAGAAAAGACAAAAAAAGCACAGTCTAAATGCAAGGTCTCACAGCTTGTGCCTCAGTTTTCATCTTTGTGTTCTTCTTTCCTCAATGAACGAATTTCATGTTCTAGACAAAGGGCATATGCCTTCCAGGTGTTCTAGATATTCTATAATTGTGCGAATCTGAGGAAGTCACCTCATTGAGTCTGAGTTTCCTCACCTGTAAAATGGAAAGTGATTGATAGTTCAAAGGCATGTTGCAAGGAATGGATTAAATAATCTATGGAAGGGTTTGACTCAGTGTTCATAATCTAATACGTACCTTACAATTAAATATCATGGCTTCTATCATTAATAATACTGACTATGCCTTTGTCATTTCTATTTACCATCATGCTTTTCTACCCAGCTGCTTCCTCCTGTAATATCCAAGTTTATTTTTATGGCTGCTGTTTTTGTCTGTCTTTAGCTTATTCGCATTCTCTCTCCTCTGGGATAGGTGGGATTTTCTGCTACCTTTCTTGATGTTACTCTTCTCTTGTAAATCACATAGCTCACTGATCAAGCAGTTGTCACCTTTCCCTGGTATTTCCATTTTGCAGTCTACATTTTGGCTTCCTAACTAGACTGCATGCTACTTGAGGCTAAGGTCACTGTCTTCTTTATATTGATGCATAATATGCTGGTCAACATAAAGCCAAAGTTATCCAATAGGATGGTTTGACTTCCTACCCATATTCCATGCCTTTTACCCTACAGTTTCTTGCTTTAAGAAGTAAATATAAACTTTTTTTTCCCCAACCTTTGGGAGAACTACTAGCCAAAATTAATCTGTACAAAATAAAGCTGAGAATTCAAATAGACTTCAACCTGTCTTTATATACAAATAACCTCCTAAACATTATATATATAATATGTTATATAATATATATTATATATTGTAATATGCAATTACATAATTATATAATTTTATCTATAATATATATAATAATATGATATAATATATTACATAACATAATATTATATTATATAATATATTACATATATTATATTATTACACATATTATATATATTATTACATATACATACATTACATTATATAATATATACTATATATTATATGTATAATCTATATAATATATAATATATGATATATTATAATTATATAATATATAATATAATATTTTATATATCATAATATATTATAAATTATAATATATAATCATAATTATATATTTATTATATTGTATATTATGTAATATATAATTATATTATACATAATATTAAAATTATATATTATTTATGTATATTATATATATATGCTAAACTTGAGAAGACTGCAAGATGAAGAAAGGGAAGATCGACCAGTACTGAGTACCTGAAGGACCACTCAGTGGCATATTTCCTGGGTTTTCTTTTTGAATCACATGTCCCAGACCTGGAGCTGAAGAAATTGACAACCCCAAATAGCAACAAGTGCAGGCACAACAGAAGCCTACTCTTTGCCAAAGCACCTAGAGATAGGGTGCCCTATCAGAGCAATAACCCGTCTACTTCAGCCAAATATCACAGAAAATTCTGGCCTCACTTGAACCCATGCCAGCTTCTAAAGATGGAGAAGGGAAATGGACTTTTACTAACCTCAGGAGGCTCTAACAAGGAGCTTTCTTCAGGAGAGCAATGTCAAGAAAGACCACATGGCAGTCAAACTCCTTGACCATTCTCTCCATTACTAAATCTTTCTCTACTTGGTCGTGTTGCAGGAAGTATAGTGAAGAGTCAAACTTTTATCAGTATGTAATGACAGCAAAGCAACATACCCATTCTCCCTCATACTCCCTCATCTACCCACTTTGCCACTGTGTGGTGTCAGAAGAGGACAAATGGAATAAGCAGGCTTAGAGGAGATCCAGGGCTCCTCCATCTCCCAATAATGAAGAATACTTCCCCTGCCCCTCAGTTGGCTGCAGAGGCTGAGCAGGTTACCAGATGAGGCACTAACACGTCTTATTTTCTAGAGTAATATCAGATAAAAAGAAAAGTTTAAATACACTCTAGGGCCTTGTTTAAAGACTTTTTAGGCTTTGATTGAAAAAATAACTCTACCAAGAAGTAAAACTATATCAAGCCAAATGGAAGAGAATCCATAGATGCCAATATAAAGATGATAAATGTTAGCTATATCTAAAAAATAAAAGGAGCCACAATAAAAATCCCTTAATAAGCAATTATGATTGCATTTAAGACTAGTAAACTTCAGAAAGGAGAAATAAAAAGCAAGAGGAAAAATAATTTTAGAAGTGGGAATTTTAGAAGTGGAAATTAGAACAAAAACCTAAGTTTTGATGGATGGGCTTATTAACAAAATGGAAGGAGCTGAGGAAATAAGTATCTGTGACAGAATAATTAAAACTTACATAGTCTGAGAAATAAGCCAAGAATGGTGGCTCACCCCAGTAATTCTAGATAATCTGGAGGCTAAGGTTGGGACAATTTTGGTTCATGTCCAGCCTGGGCAAAAAGATAGGGAGAGCCCATCTCAACCATTAAATAGTGTGGTGGCACACATCTGTCTTGCCAGCAAGTGAGAAGTATAAATAGGGGAATCATGTTTTAGACAAGTCTGGACATAAATATGAAACTCTATTTGAAAAATAACAAAAGCACAAAGGTCTAAGAGCATAGTTCAAGTTATAACTACCTACATGGCAAGTGTGAGGATTTATGTTCAAACCCCAATACCTTTATCTGAGAAACAGAATATTTGTTGGAAAAAAGTGATAGTATATCCTCTTGGACATGGAGAACTAAAGCAAAAGTTCTACCAGTCACAGCATGAGAATCCAGAAAAAAGACAGGGCTGGAAAATATTCAAGGAAATAATAGTTCAAGACTTTCTAATTTGCTAAGGAAGTCAACCGTATAAAGGGTAAGCTCACAAAAATTCTTAAGACAAACTTCTAAAATTAAAAACAAAAGAAAAAAATCTTAACCAAGAGAATAAAAACATCATAAATATAAGCCAGAGAAGGAAAGAAAGTATTTACCCAAAAGTAATTGTTTTAATATTCAATAAGTAACTAAAGCAAACTACTAGAGGCAGAGAGGGATATAAATATAAAATGAGTCAACCCATGAGAATGGCGTAGTGATTCTAAGCAGAGCTACAAAATAGGTGAAGCAAAAATGAACAGATAGGGCTGGGAAGGTGGCTCAGTGGTAGAGTGCTTGCCTTGCATGCTTGAGGTCCTGGGTTCGATTCCTCAGCACCACATAAGCAAAAAGAACAAAGCTGGAAGTGGTGCTGTGGTTCAAGTGGTAGGCCTCCCCCCAAAAAAAATGAACAGATAGCCGGGTGGCAGTGACTCACACCTGTAATCT